CCAAATAAATTCGGCTTTAGCTCGGAACCCGCCCTTGCAGCTCCAAGTCTCAGCGTGTGTGTGACCCTCCTAACAACCACAGACCTGCGAAACACTGCCGGAAAACTGCTATACAGCGTCTAGCATAATGTTTAAGTACTGTGTGGTCTTGTTCAGCAGCCTACATAGACCCAGGGGGGGCGTCAGGTGGGTGTAAGTGCGCCAAACCGCTTGCCCGGGGACGATATGGAAAAAATCCTATAATATCAGACAATAGCCTGATTACCGGGACAGTACTTCTCCAACGTTGTTTTCCCGACCCAGGACGCCCCCTCTTTTCCCTTCGTCTCTTCAGCAGGGAGGACTTATCAGGACTATAGCTACGCGGAGGTGCCTTCATAGTTGATGGTGGGCTGTAGTGGTGGCGGTGCCGGAAAACGTCGACAAATATATAAAATAAAATCCCGGCATAAGGACACTCAGAGGATGAGTTTTTCTCTCCGCCTTCGAATTATTCCGCGTCTCCCCTACCCCCCCCACCCCCTTCCTGCTCATCCCCCCTGCTACTTTGGCCGAATTTCGCGACACACGGACAACCACGCGAAACGCGACCGCCCACTCACTCGTACCAAGGAGACAGAGTGTGCCGGTCTACTCACACGAATCAAGAAACCGAGGCTTAGATTTTTGCGAAAACAAGAGAGATGGTGCAAGGATTGAGCTGAGCCGCCGGCGCAACACGAAAATGCTATGATTGGCCTTTTTATTTTTATTTTTTTATCATCACACAACAACTCCATCTCTATCTATAGAAATAAGTCTAAGATAGATTAGCAATGGATCCATAGCGTGAGCGAAAGGCTACCTGTATGTCTACGGTTTCCCAGACAGCATACAACGATAACTCCCCTGTGGGTAACAGGCTCAACAAGGCAGTTTGGTAGCCATCTTGTTGTTGTTGTTGTTGTTTCTCACATTAGCTCTATAGTCCACCAAACATGGGGAGCCCGTGATCTCAAAACCCTGCACATTCGACGCCGCGAGAAAACAAAAAAAAGCTATAGGGTACAAACCACTCGGAAAAAGAAAACAAATGATAGAAAGAAAAGAACAGGTATCGCACCGACCGTTCGAGAAAAGAGCCCTCGGACACCGATCAAAATAATACAAAATAAAAATAAAGGAGGACGCTTCCCACACCCGCCCAAAGAAAAAAACAAAGGGTAACGTACCAGCACCAGGCACCACGCACCAGGGCGTGGGAGTAACGGAGCCAACAGGGCAAAGAGGCCGCAGATGGGCAGACAGCCAGACGTACAAAAACAAAGGCAACAGCAAAGCGAGATCAAGGTACCCAACACAGCAGAGTTGGCAGGGAGGTCACGAAAAAAAGAAACACAGCACGGAGGCCGAAGACAATACAAAGGACATACATAAAGGAGTAAAGCATACAACAGGGAGGGAAACAGGGCGCAACAACATCAGCCGGGTACATAGTTTGCCACAAGCGCTGCCTCGGCCGCCCTACTCGCTTCTACAGCAGAGCCCGGTCGCCGTTTCTTCCCCCCAACCGCCGCTTCGCCGGTTCTCTTTCTCTTCGGTCCTGAGATGGTCGTACTCTCTGCTTCTGCTTCCCTCGCGCGCTGGCGCTTCGCGGACGCTTCCGCCTCCTGCCTGTGCCATTTCCTCATGAACCATGCCGCCCCGTCCTCGACCTTGTTGTACCACACCTCCGAGTTCTTGGCGCTCTCTTTCCATTTCCCCCCTTCCTTTTCGTCTCCCATGTTGAAGGCCACGAGGTCCTCTCCTAGACGAGACACCCAGTCGCTCTCCTGCCCGCCCCGGTATCCCCCGCCCCCCGCCATCGCTTCAAACAGCATGCGCTTGGGGAGGCGGTTGTCCTCCATGCGAATAACAAAGCCCGCGAAACACAATCTCCGTTTGCGCACGGTGGCCTCGATGGTTTCCTCGCAGCCTGCCTGGATGAGGGCCTGGGCATAGGACAGGGGGCGGTCTGAGCGTTTCCGCTTGCTCCAGCCGATGCACCGTGTAAGGAACTAGCGGTGGGTCCCATTGATCTTCGTGTAGTGCTCCGCTGTTAGGCTCCACGAGGCGCACCCATACAGGAGAGTCT